GTCTTAGACCCATAGATAATTGCAGCCGAGTAGGAGCGCCACTGGTTGGTAGCAACAGCACTTGCAGTGTGGTGCTAGCACGGGAGTAGCGGCAGCGCCAAACCAGGAAGATGAGCTTCTGGATGAAGATCTCCCGGACACGGTAGGCGCCGAGTTGGACTAGCAGGTTTCTGGCAGAGGTGCGCGGCGAGCATCCGTACACAGCTCGAGCCGCACGATTCTGCAGAACTTGGAGACGGTCCAGGTGCTTACCCGCCAGCGATGCTGAGAAGGCATTGGAGCCATATGAGAAATCAGGCATGATCACAGACTTAAAGGGGAAGTTAAGGCAAAAATTAAAATTTCACCAGTTGTAGTCTTCGGGGTGCTGAGTCGAATGGTCGTGGTCCGAGGAAGCTGAGACGCTCCCTTCCTACTTGAATCCCAATCGAACTCGCGCACTTCCACCGAAACTGGGTGACTGCGCCCTACGAGATGGGGATTTGTATGCAAAATGTCACTAAAAGCGCCATTTCGTTCTTATAAAAGCACGGATGACCGCGATTGGCCCATATGTTGTAGTCTTTTGGACGCTGAGTCGACTGGTTTTGGTCCGAAAAGGCTGCGATGCAGCGTTCCTCCTTTATTCCCAATCGAACATGGTTGAACAAGCGGTCACGTGCTCCTGCGTACGCCAGTCACCTGGTCACCGTGCCTGCAGGGTACAACTTACTAGCCTGTTTGACCTTTTTTGGGTGCAGTCCTGTCACTCGAGTTGAACTCGAGTTGAACCTTGGTGTGAAAGTTGTCACCTGCTGGCGTGGTGACCAGGTGATTTGGGCACCCAGGAGCACGTGACCACTTGTTCAACCATGTTCGATTGGGAATAAAGGAGGAACGCTGCATCGCAGCCTTTTCGGACCAAAACCAGTCGACTCAGCGTCCAAAAGACTACAACATATGGGCCAATCGCGGTCATCCGTGCTTTTATAAGAACGAAATGGCGCTTTTAGTGACATTTTGCATACAAATCCCCATCTCGTAGGGCGCAGTCACCCAGTTTCGGTGGAAGTGCGCGAGTTCGATTGGGATTCAAGTAGGAAGGGAGCGTCTCAGCTTCCTCGGACCACGACCATTCGACTCAGCACCCCGAAGACTACAACTGGTGAAATTTTAATTTTTGCCTTAACTTCCCCTTTAAAGTACTGGATGCGGCTTTGCATGCTGAGGCAGCGACGCATCCGCCACAGAACACCGACTTTCTTGTTGAGGCGGGCAACGCACCTATCCATCTGGGTGTTCCAAGACATGGCGCTGTCAATGTGAACTCCGAGGTAGCAAGCAGAAGAGACAGGTGGCAGCTTAGTCGCATGACACCATACGTCCAGTTCAGGTTGCGCTTCTAGCTTCCCATCCGGTACTACCAATGCCTGACTTTTTGATGCATTAAGAATCAAACCTCGCTGCTTCAGCCAGTCAGCAATGCATGTCACTGCTCTGGAGAGAGTGGCGGTCAGTTCCTGTTGTGTTGGGCGACTGCAGGTCAGTGCGATGTCATCTGCGAACTGGATGGACTCAGCTTGCTGGGCAACAGATGGTATGTCCCGGGTGTAAAGGCTGAACAGCAGTGGACCTAATACCGACCCCTGTGGTACTCCACAGGAGCAGGCTGCCACTGTGCTAAGCTGGGATCCCAGCTGGACAATCTGGCAGCGATCAGACAAGTATGACATGAGCCACTGGAGCGCTGTTCCAGTGACGCCCACACAGAAGAGATCTTCGACTAGTTGCTGGTGGCGAACCTTGTCGAACGCCTTCGACATATCCAGGAGGACCACACCCGTGAACATGCGGCGGTCTCTTGAGGCGAGGATCCTGTTGACCATCAACACAAGGGCATCCTCCGTGGAATGTCCTGTCCGGAATGCAAACTGTGTGCTGGGCAGAGAACCAGCCATATCCAGAAAGGTGACAAGTGCCTTCTGCACTACCTTCTCTAGCAGCTTCGAGAGAATTGGGAGCAGGGACACAGGAGGGAAATTGTTGGCGACAGATGGATCGCCAGCCTTGTGCAATGGGGTCACATACGCACGCTTAAAGCCAGCGGGTACAGTGCCGGAGGTCAGGGACGCATTGAAAAGTGCTGCAACTGATGGTGCTAGCAGGCCGGCACAGTACTTAGAAGTAAGCCTGGGATGCCGTCGCTCCCGGTTGCTTTGCGCGGGTCGATGCGCTTCAAAAGCTGTTCAGCATCACAGACACGCACATGTTGGAATGAGGTCAGGGCAGACCGAGGCTGTGGACCCTGAGGCATAGAGAGCACTGAAGGTCGAGCATCATCAGAGACTACCTTGCCAAACGTGGACGCAACATGTTCAATGTCGCACGTCGGCTGGATTGATTGTCTCTTGCGTCCAGTCACAGTATTTAGGACTGACCATAACTTGCGTGGGTTCTGGCAATTATCTTGGCACTGACTTTGGAAGTACTGGTTGCGTTTGCACCTGTTTGTATTCGCAGCAACCGAGCGGGCACGTCTATATGCTGCGTGAGCTTCAGAGTTGGCTTTGTCAGCAAGCCACTTTCGATGCAGGCGACGCTTCAGCTGGTTTATCTTGTATAGCTCACTGTCAGACCATGGAGGATGGAGCTTGCCTGTCTTAATCTTGCATTGCTGCAATGGCGCATGCCTGTCGAGGACAGAAAGGAATCGTTGATGCCAGTGATCCCACATGGCTTGCACATCAGAGTCTGGTGGGTACACATGAAGTTCAGCAGCAGCTAGGTCAAGTCGGAAGGCAACCAAGTCAATGTTATCTAAACGGCGACGCACACGCTGCTTGGGGATGTCTGGCCGGGCATGTCTTGCATTGAAGGTTGCTTCAACTCCAAAGTGGTCACTGAGTGTAAGCGGCAGGACTCGGCAATCATGCAAATCCTTATCCTTTGTAGTCAGTATCAGGTCAATAGTAGTGCCAGCTGGACACCGAGGTGAGACTCGCGTAACGGAGTGGACGATATTAGTAGTGAGGCCATATGCACCACAGAGATCCAGAAGACGATACCCCAGCTGAATTGCTCAAGTATGGAGGAGAGTCAGGAGACGCCATGGCTTCTACCCTTTCCTCAGTTATCAATGGTGTATTAACCATCATCAGTCAGTGGAAGTAGGCGGAGTGATCCTCATACATGTACCACTTCAAAAGCCGGATAAACCTCCCGGACCACCGTCCAATCTCCGGCCCATACCGCCATAGTGCTACTTACAACACTCAGGAAAGCACTATCGCTCATAACCCGCGCAAGGATCAGACCGAAAGTGGAGGAGTTTCTGGCTGAGACCCATAGTGGCCACTAGTGAACTCGGAGTGGACGGGCAACGTCAGATGTTGTATGGGCGCACAAATGGCTGGCTGCCAAATCCCAACGCTTTTCACTGGGATATTCACATCCTCAGAATTGACCTATCAAAAGCATTCGACACTGACCAACTGATGAGTGTACTAAAAGAGGTTGTGAACGAGGACGAACGGCATCTGATATGAGCTTGAAAGTGATGACGTCAGAAGTCAAAATCTATAAACGGACAAAATAATAATGACCTTTGGATCCACTTGGGTCCAGTTTTTGTATGGGTCCATACACGTTTGGGTGGTTTTCCTTCGCAGCATAGTGCACTAGTGGCACACCCACCGGTCGTGATTGGACTAGACCCTCCCGGTTATGGACCCACACCTACCGGTGGATGTGTGACTATGCTGCCAAGGAAAACCACCCAAACGTGTAAGTCCATCGTCTCTATACAGCCCGATCATACGCTTGTTACACAGGCCCGCGAGCTTGTGGAGGACAAAAGCCCAGACCAGCTGGCAAACGTCTACTCTGTTAAAGCAGCCCATCGTCACATCAAAAGTGCCGGTATCGCCCTTCTTTGCCCAGCTCCCGCCATCTCCAAACAGCAAGGACTTCCGTGCATGGAGGATGATATCCAATATCAAGAGTCCAGGGGGTTATGGACTCTTGCCAATATCGATATCTCTATCAGACACGCTCCCTGGCAAACTGAAGGGCGAGACTCAGGAGCTGCTCCGTGATCGAGGGATAACACTCCACGATGTCGAACGTTATGAAGGAGAGGCTGTTCTTGTCCTGCAGGCCCTTGAACCATTCAATCACAGACATGGACTTTTTCCATAGGTTGGGAGTGACTTGCGGTGTTAGCTTTCCGGGGATAGCATCGAGGATGCGTTTATTGACTGCTCCGAGCTCACTTTTCGCAGGGTTGATTAATCTGCATGGAAGGCTTTGCCTGAAATTCTCTTTATGATCCTTGATCGTGATAAATGCGTCTTTCTTCGCCATGAGTCGGCATGACATCAACTCGGTCCGCAATGCCAAGGTCTACAGCTATTTGTTTAGCCTCGGTGTTAATCTCTTCAATGATATGCATCAAGAGGGGCAGCCTTTGTAATGCTTGGTGATGTTTCTCAAAAGCTGCTGGTGGCTCTCTTTGCCGAGTACATACATATTCCGGGTCTTGTCAGCGGGGACGAAGACATCCGTTGCTGTTGTATACTTTATTTATAGTGGAAATCAAATCCGTTGACTTCTTGATCATGTCCACGTCTTGTCTGAGCTCATTCTGGAACTGGTCCGAAACCTTCCGGAACGAGATACCCTCAACGAGTCTCAGCATTTCATCTTCGAACGCAGTCAATTCGGGTAGCACGGGCGGGCACTTGCGTGACTTGAATCCGAAATTGTCACTCTCGTCCCTCTCCTGTTTGGCTCATTTCCACCGTTCTTGAAGAAGAAAGCCATCCAGCACATTCTTTTCAGGACTTTCTCGATACTCCCTAAGGGCGCTTCCGGTAAGAGTCAGCTGTAGGCAGAGGAATGTTCTTCAACGAATAGTTGAAGTTGATCAGTCTGCGCTGCTCCATCGTCCAAGGTATAGGGCGGCGGTATGAGAGTGCTCAGCCAGGTAAGGAAATAGGGGGTATATACTATTATGGTTATGAATTTATAGAAAGGAAAAGGACCAAGGAAATACAACTTACGCTACAATGTCCAACAACAAGTAGTTCCTTGATACTTTTTTCTTTTCTATAAATTTATCCTTGGCTCTCAATCCGAGTCTATACAGTCATGGTTAGGAGTGCACAATTAGTTTTATTCATTGCTAACAAGAAAGAGTATATTTCCATGCCTCTGTTCCCCCAATTCCGAGGGAACTCACTTCGCCTGCTAACATCAAAGAATAGCCCATTGGGTCGGTCCAAGACCATGACTGAGATCACGGGGAGAGTTACCTGGTTCAATTCCTGTCTGCACGTGGGTTTTCTAGCTGTGCACTGAGCTACCCACAGTCATGCACTATAACTGGTAATTTGTGGCCAGGCTATGCGGCATGAAGGGATGCGGAAAATTGCACTGGTATGCGTGGGACCTATCAACTACTTCAACTAGAGTAACTTGTGGACATTCATAACTGATTTGACTCATCACATCTGTGCCCATGAAGTATTTCTTCCCTCTGTTTTTACTTCATATTTTGGAAGTAGGTCAGATACTGAGTCCCAGCCAGTGGAGGAATGACCTCCAGGCCGACCAGCATACCTCGAAGTATTTATTATTCAAGAAGAGAATGGACATCACTTATTAAAGTTATATTTTAAACATCGAGTATTTGGAAAGGCTTTATGAATACGTACACTTCGAAGAATCATTAACCCCCATCCAGCAATGTCAGTTTGGGAGATATTTGGTCAGAGTAAATTGTTCTAAAAGACTAAAGAGCGAATTGAAGTATAACATAAGTATCTAATATTGACTGAGTACGAGGTCACTATAGGAAATCATAAGCCGAGGTCTTTTACGAGGTTTTTATTTCCTATACTGACCAAGTATGAAGTCAATATTAGATTTATCACGACAAACAGTCCGTATTTCAAATTCCAGAACGATAACCTCATGATTCCCGGTTTTATGATTGCACAACCGTTGCACCACCACCTACTCATGCAGTGACAATGCTGCACTAGGCACCGTTCAACTGCGCAAACCCTAAGCAGTCAAATAATAAGCAGTCAATATAGCCCTAAGGAGTGAAATATGCAGGAATATTTGACTGCTTAGGTATGGCAAAAATCTATGTGAGTCAATACTAAGGGAGTGATAAGCCGATATAAGGAGCGTTGACTTCATCAGTGGAAAACAGGTATGAAAAAGATGTTGCCCATTGGCATAATTCTGTTGTGTCACAAACCATTGGGAAACAGTAATCTAGAAGTATGTGAAAGAGCAGTTATGATGAAGCTGATGGGATGAGGAAATAAAAACTGAGATTTACAACTATTACTGCGTGTACGACCATATAACAGGAACCAGTGACCAACAGCAATGATTAAAGTCTACAATTTTCAACAGAATACAAACACGGTGAGGGTGCAACCACAAGCACACAAGCAAACAAATACACATACAGCAACACATATAAACACCCGCACACAAACACACACAAGCACATGCACATCTCTTGCAAGAGCACAGCAAAACCCCAATGCAAAGAGGCACGTGTCCAGCTCAGTAAGGTTGGCGTTTAACATCATCTACAGCAGTGATCAGTGATGACATACATGTTGCGCAACTAAGATCAAAATCAGTCTGGCAAACCATCTCCAATGCAAACTTTGCACCAAATCAAGCCTTGAATTCTATCTCAAAAATGTCTGACCCAAAGATTTGGCTGGAGGCTGCCCAATCCAAATGTGGGACATGAACGTGTGCGATGTGCACACCATACTGAATTCAATTCAGAATGATAACAGTGCCCAATCCAGCAATCTGCTGCCTGAACAGTGGACCACGCCAGGTACTGTTTTCATCAATGCTGCACTGTGACTGGAAAGGCAAGAGAAACCTGACAAGAGCAGTCAGCTGAAACCCACACCACTGGTACTATGCAGGAAACACTGCCAAAGTTGTCCTGCGGCTCCTCCACTGTTACTTGCGTGTGACGCACAATATTCTGAAAGACAATGTTTTGAAACACAGTTTCGCTGTCGGCATCCAATGGGACAATTCGCATGGATCCAGTTGGGATGTGTACAATACACTTCAAGTCCAGGGTTGCTTGGGAAATCATCAAGCATGCATTGCTGGCTTCGTACTCTAGAGTGAGTTCTTCCCCGTTCTGGAAGTGCAGCTTGCTCGACTTGTCTTCGCTGCGCGTTGTTAAATGAGGGTGCTCGCAGCGCATTTCTCCACAAAACACTGTGCCGGTGCTAAAGCATACCACGGCACTGGTGTGGCATGATTGAACAAAATCATGGCTGTAGCCACGTGCCTGGATGCGCGCTTCAATGCTCTCCGCCGACAAGTTGACCAGCACTCCGACCCCAAAGTCGGGCTGATCCAGGTCTTGGGAACCACTGCTTTTCATTGAAGAGCTCTCTTGCCGAACTATGCGGACACGCCAAATGCATGTACCGTTCTTATCGTCTTTGCTTAGCTCCCTGCTTCCAGCAATAAGTCGATACGGCTTTGATAAGCCCCAGGAGCCAAAAAACTTGCACTTGTTGATTTGCTGCTGCTGAATCTTGCCCCTGGGCATTTCATTCTGAAAGGTGGCAAGAAGACCGGATGGTGAGATGTACGCTGGGTGCTTCCGTCCATGCTGTTTGAGTATGGAAGACTTTGAACTATACTGGAAGCGCCATGGTGGCTCAGTGACAGAGATGGTTGCCACGGAACCCAAGACAGGAAGTCCACCGACAGTAGGGTTAACCGTGTAACATCCTGTGCCGCAGTTCGGAGTGAACTTGAACGTTTTCTGGCCATCTTTTGTGCGTGCATCGTCCACGTCTTGAGCTTGGCCAGCAGGTCCTGTGACTTTGCAGCCTATGGCTGCAGTGCCCAGTGTCCTACCGGCTACCTGGGCCGCATCATCTCGCATGTCCACACGGATCAGCACACTGTCCTGTGTGTAGCAACTGTCAGGTACCATCAGCCAATTGTGCTTTGTCAGAGCTGCCGACGTCACTTGACCCAGCTGTGATAAAGTCTCCTGAAAGCTAGACAAGTCAAATTTCACGTCCAAAGAGCCATCATCGTGCGGCAGAAATGGCTTCTCGCAGGCATCAGCAAGAAGACTTTTCAGGCGAGCATCCACTACACCCTTGAGAGCTAGGCATTGCCGTTTGCTCCCGTACTCCAGTAGCGTATTGGCAAACATACATGCATGCGCTAGCTTTCCTTCCAGAGAGCTCAACTGCATTCGCTGATTGTCGAGGAGTGTAGATTTTCTCACCTGCATGGCGTGGACCTGAGTGCGCAGCTCGCTTGAGCGCTGATCAAGCAGCTGTTGAATTTCATGCTGCACCTTCTCAACATCATCACGCGCAGAACACAAGTTGGTGGCCAGTGCTTCTCTCGATACTCTCACCGCATCCAAGGCGGCACGAGCTTTGCGCAGCGCTTTCTCAGCGCTGGGCACAAGCTGTGAGAAGTTTGCCCGCTGCACGGCATCTTCCATGAAGTACCACTTGTGACACTTATGATCCACGACTATGCAGTCCCGGCACACACTTTCGCTGCAGCTCTCGCAGAACAACTCGGCTTCGTTCTGTGCATGCCGGGGACACTGTATGCCACTCTGCGCCGAAGGCAGCAGCGACGACGACATGTCCATTTGCTCTGATTTGCTCCCTGCTGCAAGAGATGCAAACGAAGCTCTGTTCAGTGATATTGGATTGTGTGATTTTGTGCTCTTGCTCAATCGGTGTGAGGCAAGGTGAACACTGCACAAGAATAGGTAGCAGTTGACACAGCGATGGGTGGCTATCTCCTCTGCCACGCACTCATCACAGACAATGGGCTTTTGCGGGTCGTGCAACGTCCGCAGCGCCACTTTGTCGCACGCCAAGTAGTCCGTGCACAATCGGTCGACTTGACGCGGCGAAGCGATGTACGAGCAGCGGTCACATCGCAGTGATCCGTCTTGGCACTTTGCGGATATCCTGCATGTCGAGCAAATAGGATGCAAGCAAGGTAATAGCTTTGCACCTCTCAGCTCACCCGAACAGAGAGCGCATGTCCAGCGACTTCCATTCTCTTTCTCCTGTTGTAGCTGAGAGTCTCGCTCCGATTTGACCCGAACTCGCGGCGACAGCATGTCGGCTGCTCCGTCCCTTTCCGTGAACGGCGGTTGAACCACACGCTCCCACACTCTAATCGCGAAATGACCTCCGGGGTTACAACGTTACTTTACAAGCAGGAACTTTACCACTCCCTAGTTACAAGTATAATTATGTACAATGTACAATGACGGTTGTGCAAGCAGAATACTTCGGGCGGCGGGATACTCCTTGTCAATGGCTGAATGGGTACCGTTAGTACAAAGAAGAAAAGTAAACGGTGTCATTCGCTAGTAGATCTACTCAGTAAAAAAACGGTACTGTCCGACCGTCGAAAATAGCGTGAACGGTAGAATGCTAAGTATGGTTATCACTCTCAGTCTTCTTTAGTAGTACTAGTAGTGGGGTTTTGCATTCCGAAATTCGGCAAAAAGATTCGGCACGCGCGCGCGGGAGCGAGGTCGAAAATGCACACGAAGATTCGGCATGTTTCTTCGGAAAAAGCTCACTTTGCCGTTTTGAGATGAATTTTCTTGTAGAAGAGCGCTAGCGCGTGATTTATTCAAAGAGGTTTCTTATCTCGGCATCGCTTCGCAGGCGTCTTGGGCGACATCAGCATCGCCAGCTACCTCTGATTGCTCCTCTCCACTGCCTGTCTACTCTCTATCGCCTGGAGTGTCCTCACCGTCATCTGTGTGGCTGAAAAGACTATGGCGGTACGCATACAATTTGACTTGGCCATGGAGTTGGTTTTTCTGAGGCGACTGAGGAGGCAGGTTTTTGCCCTCGACTCTTTGGGCGATCAAAGTTCGTTGGAATCAGCAAGAAGGGGAGCACGGGACAGGACGTTGCTGATGCTGGGGCTCACGAAATGAAACACACATCATTTTCGACTTGCAAAACAAACGTTGGTGCGAAAATTCGACTTTTTGATGTTCGACAAAATTAAAGGGGAAGTTAAGGCAAAAATTAAAATTTCACCAGTGGACCGTATGCGTGTTAAAACAAAATGGCGTCACGATTTATTGAAAGTGGTATAATTGGTGGTACGAGTGTTCAAACCCATTTGAACTTCATACTGTTCGTCTTCTTTTTGACATGCTCTCTTTCCATCGTCCTTAGCTTTTGTTTGTTGAGAGCTGTTTTGGCTTTCTCCTATACCTCTGGGGGATGCCAAGTGATGGTTTTGAGAGGCTGGTGATGGCTGTGAGCGAGAGTTTGCCGATCGGCGTCGTCCTCGCTATAGCGATGAAAATACTAGTTACTGCGCACCTGGCAGATATCACAACACGTCGGAGCGTCCAGGAGCAAAGGAATCTTGGGTTTTCACTGGAATCTAGTTCCTCCAGCATCGTGTAGCCCACCGTCGGTGAATGGCGGTCCAGAAAGGTCGAACCTGGTCTTCTGCAGCATCTCGCAGTCCTGCGAGGCACACTGAATACGCCTGTCATGTATTCTACAAATAAAAATCACGAAGTAGTGGACTTTACAGTGATGAGTCTATCCTGTATGCTGCAAAAGACGCAGGAAATGTGACTGGTGTCCGTACACTGGACGCCAATATCATCCCAGTCTTCTCCTGCAGGATCTGTTTGACATTGACATACCGATATGCAGTGGGTCGACATTGGCCTGGTTTGGCAGCTATCTGCCTGGGTGGATGTAGCAGGTTTGCATTGGCGCGTCGTCCAGTCCGACATTTTCTTGTAACTGTGGAGTACCGGCAGGGTTTGAGAGGTTGCTCGTGCTGTGAACACATCTCTACTGCCTGTCTCGTCCTGGAAGTGCCGTCTCGCCGCTTCCTTGCTCTACAGTCACGCCGTTATTTCGCTTTGTTTCGTGGTGCAGCTCAAAACCTGCCCAAACAACTGTGAGCTCGCAACATGGTATGGACAAATTGCACCACTCATGCTGGTTAACTAAAACCGGGATAGTCGAGTAAGCGAGTTCACTCCCTGGGCCATGGCAAGATCTGTTCAGCGCGGGCTATTCCAACCTCCAAGTGCATAGTCACCGATCGATCCATGCGATGGTGGTTGACCTACAAAGAGCCAAGGTCTACGAGTACTACTATTGGATGCTGTCTACATGCAGTCAACAAAATCAAAGTACCTCAGTATGCCCCAGAATAGGGCATGTGCATCTATAGCATGACACAACGGGGGTTCTGGCGGCACCTGTCAAACAAGCAGTAGCGACTAGTGCCAGCTACCTATTGGAGGCTAGCCGCTAGTCTGTCACTGGAGATAATTATAATGTTCACTGTTTAGACTGAGCACAATCAATGATGCCCAATCAATCTGCCCAATGTGTGTTCTGTTCCACCTAATTATAACGTCCCATCGCATCAACCCTACTACACGCACATGTCGTCACTCTAGCACGACTTGTGTTATTATTGTTTATTTTGATTCGCACGATAAATAGAGCACAATAAACGTTAACTTTACCGAAGGTTAAAGGCGACTGCAGATAGAGGAACACATCGAGGTACAGGTACCGGCATCAATACAGTATCAGAGAGAAACAAACAAAAATGAGAGGTATGCAGAAAAAACTCTCGTAAGCCCAAGGGGAAGTGGTTGATGAGGGATGAATGCACTCTCCACGCTCATCTAAACTGTTCGTGGAAATGCACACATACATACAATAATATACAACATAGCAATAGCATGCACAGAACCGAACAATTTCATGTTCACACATGCAAGCACAGACCTGAACATTAGTACCAAAAGCCGATACAGACAATATTCCCATACACACAGACACACACACACACACACACACACAATGTCCCATGTATGCGCCCGTGGCGAGAAAAGCACGCAAATCTACAAATGCACTGGATGTGAACCCACAGATTTTCTCTTATAGCAACGATAGCGGATCTGATTCTGAATGAAACACACACACAATACAATCATTGAATGCCCATCCGCAGATGATGGCAGGTCCTGAAAGAACAGGCAGTGTTCCAGTGATGGGGAACAGAACTTCGAGTGGCGAGTGAGGTATACACACACACACACACACACACACGTGCGTGCGCGGGCACACACTAAAGTATTCAGAAATAGACTCGACATCGTAGTATTCATTGGTTGGGGAATGGAAAGGAAAATAAAACATTGCTGTAGGTTATTGTTGTAAGGACACTGGGAGCACAACAGAAAGGTGAGCAATTTGCTTTGAAGCAAAGAAAGTTATTATTCCACGGATCTCAGAAGGAAGGAATGTTCCAGAATGCTGCACTGGCAACAGGCGGCCTGCATGTGCGCGGCCCCTGCAGTCGGTCCAGCTGCCGGCCTTGCAATGCTGAAAAGAATGTGCAGTACAGCATGTCACATAGTATCGCAGCCTGGACAAATAGGCGCTGGGAAGTCCTAGTTATGTGCTCACCTACACCACGATGCATCAATCTTCTGAGCTACTTTGGCAACAACTTTGTCCACTTGAGACTCCCATGGGCTGAGCCAGTTGTTGAGGGCTGCATCAAGGTGGACGGCAATGACCGCTGATGGCAAGGCAATCCATGACACACAGTCACTAGGGCATCGTCAACATGGCGCTGAGGCTGGATCGATAAAATCAACCTTTAGGCTGCCGCGGGGTTGACAACGAGGCCGCTGTCTCGAAGCTAGTCAGTCAGCCTGGTCACCGCCATTGACGAACCAGTCGCCACCGCCAGCAGTGGCGGTAGGTTATGACAAGTGTGGTGCAATATTGTCAGCAAATTCAGTACTCAGGATAAGATGAGTGACAAAGGGAACGTTGTGTTTGATAATATTGAAGTGAACAGGAATGATCACAAACCCTGCGCGTACTCCACCGTGAGTTACAAGAAAATTTCGGACTGGACGACGAGCAAACACCAACCTGCTACATCCAACCAGGCAGATACTATTACGATAGCTGCCAAACCAGGTCAACGCCGATCTACTGCATAATGTCAATGTCAAACAGATCCTGCAGGAGAAGACTGGGGTGTTGGCGTCCAGTCACTGAGTGTACAGACACCAGTCACATTTCCTGCGTCTTTTGCAGCATACAGGATAGACTCATTACTGTAAAGTCCACTACTTCGTGATTTTATTTGTAGAATACATGACAGGCGTATTCAGTGTGCCTCGCAGGACTGCGAGATGCTGCAGAAGACCAGGTTCGACCTTTCTGGACCGCCATTCACCGACGGTGGGCTACACGATGCTGGAGGAACTAGATTCCAGTGAAAACCCAAGATTCCTTTGCTCCTGGACGCTCCGACGTGTTGTGATATCTGCCAGGTGCGCAGTAACTAGTATTTTCATCGCTATAGCGAGGACGACGCCGATCGGCAAACTCTCGCTCACAGCCATCACCAGCCTCTCAAAACCATCACTTGGCATCCCCCAGAGGTATAGGAGAAAGCCAAAACAGCTCTCAACAAACAAAAGCTAAGGACGATGGAAAGAGAGCATGTCAAAAAGAAGACGAACAGTATGAAGTTCAAATGGGTTTGAACACTCGTACCACCAACTATACCACTTTCAATAAATCGTGACGCCATTTTGTTTTAACATGAATATCGCGGGTTGTAGTCTTCGGGGTGCTGAGTCGAATGGTCTTGGTCCGAGAAAGCTGAGACGATCCCTTCCTACTTGAATCCCAATCGAACTCGCGCACTTCCACCGAAACTGGGTGACTGCGCCCTACTAGATGGGGATTTGTATGCAAAATGTCACTAAAAGCGCCATTTCGTTCTTATAAAAGCACGGATGCTGAAACGCAGTGTTGCAAGCGAAGAGATGATGTGCGTCGCAGAAGTCGGCCAGGACAGCTCCGCTAAAATTCCGTCGCCCGCGTCCGTAGTGTCCTATGCACCGATACTGAGAACTCATTCCACCAAGTAGTAGTTTGGCGTTGAAGTCTCCCGAAATTAGAATAACTGAGGAGGAATGTACCTTACTGAGAGCCGTGCCAAGCGATGAGTAGAAGTCCTCCAAACAGCCCTGGTCTTGTGCGACTTTCGCTGAGGTCGGAGCGTAAGTGTTGACGATGGAGATAAAGCACTTTTCCGTCGAGCGAATCTGCAGAACCGCAACACGGTCCGACTCGCTCCAAACGCGATGCACCCGCTCCCAGAGCGAGCGATGAATGCAGAACCCCAGGCCATAATGTCGGGAATCTGAAGGGAGGCAGAATATTCGGTAGTCGCCAATAACATCGTCAAATCCATTTTGAATTTTCGTCTCTTGCAAGCTACAAATTTGAACGTTGTGGCGCTGCAAATCGGAAGCCAGCTGTTGCTTCTTTATGCCTGATGATAGGCCGCGAACGTTGAAGGTACTGACAGTTAG